ATTGACGAACTGACCCTGTTGCCTGAGGCTGCGGTTAGGTATTTAAGACCTCGAAACAGTTAGTTTCCCATTCTGAAATGTGGTGCGCTTTTAAAAGTACACGATGGCAGGTGGGAAAGACTTCTCGGAGCCGATGTAATCTGGGCAAAGGCATTTCTTGGACACTACTTACGCGTCCGTCGATGCGAGATGCCGCAAACTGAATTCCTTATAAACTTTACCGTAGAGCACTACTATCGCGTAATAGCGTTGCTACTGAATCGGTTTCACATAAGGCCAAAACGGAGGATTGCACACTACGTTTTTGGAGCAGTTCCGTCCTGTACAACGGTAAAGCATTCATCATACGCCGACGAATCACATTCAGTTTTATATGTGCCAGCGTCGCGTATGAGTTATGAGGCGAGAAGACACTTGGTGTACAGTAAGTTTCTTCATCTTCCCGGCTATTTCTGCTTAAGTGAGGACTGAGTCCGGGGCCGCATTCTTGCAATTTCGAGCATTTCCTTCTGAGACGCTTTTCAACCGACGAAACGTTTTTTTAATTTTTAGGTCTGTGCTCCGGATAATGCCAGTCTCGTACAACCATCCTGTCCAGCATTACTTATGGGTCTACAGTATACCAAATCGACTTTAGAGTGCAATTCTACGTTTTCAAAGCTCATTTAGGACTGCCGCATACTTCAATCACTAATTCGCGACATTTGGCTCACATCGAATGATAAACCTCCCACACTCCTGGACTCATCTTGCATTTCACCGTTAGCTTTGACCCCGCAATTTTGGCAAGCTGTTGATTCGAGCTCTGCATTACTTCTGACTGACTCGGAGAAATATCGTGATGGCTGGCGATGAAGGAGAGCAACTGATGCGACTGTGTCTTATTTACTGCCCCATACGTCTGCTACATCAATCCGTCAGTTTGCCTTCCGCAATAAGCAACACTTCGTCACATGTTAAAAGGCGTAACTTCATGTAATTTGCTGATGGAAATATGGACAAATGACCAGTTTTAGCTTGAATACGTCAATATTCTTTTTATCAGTAGTCGGTTGGACAAATCCTGGCAGCAGGTAATTTGTTTGCAGTATGGTGGGAAACGGTTGCGCGAACTAATTTGTCTCAGGTTTTACAATTTCCGAGCGGCCTCTGAGGGGTTTTATCGAAGAGCACCTGATGTGACTGCGTCTTATTTACTGTCTCGCAAGTCTGTTAGCCATCCTTAATAGACAGTGCTTTCTTCATATTGCGAAAGGCGCGACGTAATGTAATTCGCTGGGGGGATGTGGACAAACGACATATTTGAATAGACTAATATTATTTGCCGTCATTAACTGGTTTACTGAATTATGGCAGTATGTAATTAACCTGCCATTTATTTATTTCCAAATGACCTATAAGTGACAGAAAAGTACTTTATTTGAAGCGAGTTTCAATCGCGATCTTTTAACACCTCTATTTTAATCCTCATATGTTTTTAGAAATCATATAAGTTTGAATAACCGCGATGCGTATTTACATAATCTGAAGTATTTTTTTAAAATTCAACTTCAAAAGTACGCGTTATTTTAAATAATCTCGACCGATTATACTTCGGCAAAAATCTATATTTGAAAAGTCAAGTTGGCGATTACGCGTTTTCGGTAATTCTTCGTCAGGCCAATACAATTACATGATGTAGTGAAAATGTACAAAATCAACAGTGTTTATAGATTTCTCAAGGGCTATTAAGTCACTAACACTCATCATCCCCACGTTGCCCGCATGAAAGTGTCAGCGGGTGTTAGTCGTCAGAGCTAGGGGAGGGGACTAAGAGAGTCTTTGAGTGATGTTCTTGGATTGAGTACACGGAGTACCCATCATCGTGATTAGGGATTTGAGGCGGCATGGCTTCATCACTTGGGGTTGGCGTTGGCCACGGCAGAGAAAGCGCTGATGCCAGAGTTTTCTGACAGCATAACACTGGATTCGCTAACCGTATAGCTACTGCCTCGGCCGTTGCTAGTATCCGTTGGCGTAGGCCTTTGGAGAAGCATGCTGGTGTCCGGTAGACAACCTGGAATGCTTTCTTGGCATCGACTCGGTGGTTCGTATCGATTAAATGTGCGAGAA